TGTTGTGGCCTCTCCCGTTGCGGAGCACAGGCTCTGGACGCGCAGGCTCAGCGGCCATGGCTCACGGGCCCAGCCGTTCCACGGCATGTGGGATCTTCCCGGACCGGGGCACGAACCCGTGTCCCCTGCATCGGCAGGCGGACTCTCAACCACTGCGCCACCAGGGAAGCGCCATCTCCCCACTTTTAAGGGAGCTACATCCTTCCAGGTCCATTCCTAAGGGGCTCACGTGGAGATGCACTTATGAGCACAGCCTTGGGTTTGGATCTGGATCTGCTGCGTCCTCAGTGAACAAGCGACTCGGCTTCTCCTGTCGGAGGGATACGAGAAATCTGCCGCAAGGCTGTGCTCATTCATTCACTGCCCGGCTGCACAGCGCGTATTGAGGTGTCCTGTGAGTCAGGCACTGTCCTAGTTCTGGGACAGAGCAGCAGACAAAACAGACTCAGGACCCTGCTCCCAGGGAGTGTGCCTTCTATACACACACACGTGCACACCCACACGTCTGATTTCACAATACAGAGTGGCCACCACTGGGCCACTCAGAGGAGGCGTTTCCCACACGGGCTCAGAGACGGCGCCTCTGAGCGAGGCGGGAAGCTCCGGGCTGGCGTTCCCAGCAGAGGCGCAGCAGTGCTGAGAGCAGAGCGTGTGGGGCAGGGGTTTGGATTTTATGCCAGGGCAGAGGGAAGCCCCTGGGGTGGGGTGACCCGGTTTGGACTTCTGGAAGCTCGGCCTGGCTGCCGGGTGCTGGCTTAGGAGCATTGAATCAAGATAACAGTCGGTCCGGCGCCCACCACGTGCAAGAGCCCGGTACACACTGGCCGGTGCTGTTACCATGGCTGTGTCATCATTTACAGCTGCTGTCCATCCTGCGGCCCAGGCATCCCTCCCAGCTGAGCTCGGAGTGGGGCTTCCCCTCACCCCCGCCACTCTCTGCTGTCAGCAAAGTTCCAGACGGTTCAGAGCAAGTGGTTCCTTTGCCCACCCAGACCCATGATGGATTGGCATATGCAAAGCATAGAGAGCGCTGTGCGGTCGAGGCACTTCTCTATAGAGCGGCCAGAGAAAGCCTTTCCCATCGATATGAGGGCTTTTCAAGGGGTTCCAGGCATATTCGCTTGCAGTGGCCCACAAAGCAGTCCATTTCACCAGGATCAGCCACTCTGAACTGGGCCAGAATTTAGTTCTTTTGTGCATAACTGAGAAACTCACTTTGACAGAAATAGCTCCCTTTTCCTGGGAGTTAAGATACTTGGCTGTATCAAAGGAAATGTCCATTTTTGTGTGGAGCAGAATTTCAGGGCCATGGTTATGTGGGCTTTGGGTTCATAGGATGTTTTAAGGACGAAGAAAGCGTTTTTCTTTTGCAATAACCATCTCTTTAGCTTAATAACACTTAAGAAGGGAGATTCCCTCCCTCACAGCTCAATCTACGGCACCTTTTAATCTGGACCAACACAAAATTCAGTAGCGACGTTTTCTTTTTTACCTTATGGATCGGTCTGTGTGCTGTGGACAATCAAATAGAATCACCAGGGTCTCCAAGGTTGCATTGATCAGGTTAAAGAATGCTGGTTCATTTCCATCCCATCTAATGTTGCCCAGGCCCAGGTCTGGGATGCTGCGCCCGTGGATTTTGTTCCTTTAGAGCTGGATGGGCTCGGGGTGGGGGTGGGGGGGTCTGTCTCAACCAAAAGCCAAGGTCTGAGATTGCTTGCTAGTCAGGCTGAGTTGCATCTGAGGCCTCAGCCAGCCCCTGAGACCAGGTCCAGAGCCCATGGGCCCCATCATTTTGTTCCCGTGTCTCCTGCCAGAGGATGAACAGAGGGAGAAGTCAGTCTCCCACCAGACGGTCCAGCAGCTGGTCCTGGAGAAGGAGCAAGCCCTGGCCGACCTGAACTCGGTGGAGAAATCTCTGGCCGATCTCTTCAGAAGATACGAGAAGATGAAGGAGGTCCTGGAGGGCTTCCGCAAGGTGTGTTGATGTTCGCGGGCAGAGCGGGAGGGACGCGTGTGGCGGAGGAGGTGGGGCGGGCTGGGAGGGTTGCGGGCCGCTTGGGAAGGCCATCCCTGCAGGCCGGGGCGCTCGGACTTGGCTGTCCGGGGTTACACCCGCGTCCCAGGGCGCTTGGGGTTCCCAGCCCTCATCGGCATTTCTTCTGTGGGCCGACCCTTGTCCTCCGTCGAGTCAGAATGAAGAGGTGCTGAAGAAATGTGCGCAGGAGTACCTGTCGCGAGTAAAGAAGGAAGAGCAGAGGTACCAGGCGCTGAAGGTCCACGCAGAGGAGAAGCTGGACAGGTAACGCCCCCGCCCGGGGTCTGCTCCCAAGGACCCCTCAGCAGCCCCGGCCGAGGCAGGCTGGGAGCTCCCGGCACCCCTGCCATCGGCTTGGGCAGGCTGGTTAATGCAGCTGTGTTTTTCAATACAGTTCAGAATGAGAGCGCACTCTCATCTCCGTTCGCATCCATTTTGATAAATAAGGGATGCGTGTTGTAATTTCCGGGGTACCCACTGGAAGCACCTCGGTGTCACGGGCACGGGGGTTCTCATGGGCTCCTGTGCTCCAGCCCCCATTAGAAAGAGCTGGAGCCAGGTGGTTGGGTTCCCCCTACCCAGATTTGGGAGGAGGAAAGCGGGAGGCATCTACGAGGAAGGGTGATCATTTCTGAACCCCATCCCCGCGCCGTTCCTCCAGGGCCAACGCTGAGATCGCCCAGGTCCGGGGCAAGGCCCAGCAGGAACAGGCTGCCTACCAGGCAAGCCTGCGGAAGGAGCAGCTTCGAGTGGACGCTCTGGAAAGAACGCTGGAGCAGAAGGTAACAGGCCCAGGCGGGCCGGGCTGGCCAGACACTGAGACACACAGGCTAGGCTTCCCTGCGCCCGTGGCAGCTCCGGGACAGCCCGTATGTCAGGCACTCCCGGGACAAGTTCGCGCTTCATGAGCATGGCCTCGCTCTCCCTCTGGAAGATCCAGGTTACCGCAGCCCTGAGGCTGGCCTCTTTTCTGCCTTTCTGGGAATTGCCATTTTTCATTCCTTTTCAGCGTTCATTCGCTGATATTTGCTCAGCACTTGCAGTGTGCCAGGCATAGTACTTTAATCCCTGCATCCAGCGAGCTTACCAGTAAGTGGGTGGTACCCACCAGGCAACCCCCTGGGCAGAGACAAGCGGCTGCTGCAGAACATGGGCAGCGTCAGGGTCAGAAGGGCCCCCAGGTGTCCTCTCATTTTCGCGGATGGTGGGATCCTCCTGAGGTCCCTCAGCTTGTCCCCAGATTTCCCGATTTCCAGTCAAGTGCTCGGACCACCTTAAACACCGTCTCCCTGGGTGTCCGGATGAGAAGCCCCTTCCACCCAGGGGTGCTGTGAATCTGATTCTGAGTGAGTGTGCGCCAGGCAGGCTTCCTCCCCGGGTGTGTTTGCAGACATGCACCCCCATTCTGGTTGATTTACTGAGCCTTAGGATTCCCCAGGATGGGGTCATCAGAGGGCCCAGTGGCCGGGGGTAGCAGCACTTCACATGCATTGGGGTCTTGATGGGCGTTGGTGAGGATACTTTATAGGCAGGTAGCAGCAGGAGCCCAGGGTGTCTCCCAAATGGCCTCTGCTCCCCTAGAAGCACCCATCCAGGTTCCAGCATGGCTGGCTGGGGTCCCCAGGGGTTCTGGGCCAAGCAGTGCTAACCTCTGCAGTGGGCAGGTACCACCTCTCACGTCACCTGCATGGTGTCAGGGAAAGAGCCCGGGACTCAGGAGATTCAGGTCCCTGCCCCTCCCTGCCATCCATCCTGACCCTCGGCAGGCCTGGCGCTTCACCTCGGTGTCTAGGTTTGTAATGTCGGAGGGACTAAGCCAGTAGATCTTGAAGGTTTGAGATTGTTCCCTCTTGTTTCCATCAGGGTACGATGGTGTTTAAATTGCATCCTGATGTTATAGCTAAATCAATAGAGCTACAGCCAGGGTCAGGAGAGATGCTTTTCAAGGCACCCAGCCTGTTCAGATGGTTACGGTCGCAAAGTGAAGGTGATTGATGCTAGGTTTTCTGGCAAGCTAAAAGACAAGGAGAAAGCAAGTTGGATTTGCATTGTTTTGGATAACAGAAAAAATACAAATGTGTCTGCAGACATAGCTTTGTCTTAAACTAAGACTCAGGAAGAAGGGGTTAAGCACATGAGTTCTTCGCTAAATGGCTCTAAGTGATATGGAGACGGTGGTCTCTGTTTTCAAGAGATCCAGAAGCATGATTTCCCCCCAGGGCAGCTCTCAGGTGACGGCGTTGGGCAGTTCGCCCAGTCGGGACTTGATAAAGCGAGCTGGGACTTTTGCCCAGTGCGCTGAGCTCTGTGATGGGGCAGTTTCCTGGGCGGTGGGCTGATGGTGCCAGGTTAGAGCTTGGAGAACCTCCAAGAACTGATAGCTAGTGGGTCTGCTAGTACCTCTCAGCATGCCTAATACATAAAATAGCCAAGCTGTATAGGAGCCAGGCCGACCTGAATTTGCATTCCAGGTTTGCTATGTCTGACCAACTGTGTGACCTTATGCACAATGCTTAACCTCTCTGAGCCTCAGGTTCCTCACTGAAAAGTGGGGGGATAATAATGGCTACCTTTAAGGGACTGCAATGAGCACAGAGTGCGACCACAGGGCCTAGGCTGGGTTCGCATGGTGACCGGCACGTGGTAAGCGCTCCAATAAGATGAAAAATCACTGTTAGCAGCCCCAGCAGTGGCAGTAGTGGCGATAATAGTAATTTCAGGATTAGTGGCTGGTCCTGCAGCCCATGCAGAGCCCCATCTTCCAACCGGCATTTCAGTGCCTCAGGGAGCTGAAAACTCTAGACGGGCCAAGGCCAAGGGGATGTTCCAGGTGGGCCTCTCTCCCGGTGAGGCTGGTGGCAGGGCTGCAGCCAGGACCGAACCTCTCCCCTGCTAAGGAGGGCTGATTCCTTCCAGGCCTCTCTCCCGGTGAGGCTGGTGGCAGGGCTGCAGCCAGGACCGAACCTCTCCCCTGCTAAGGAGGGCTGATTCCTTCCAGGCACCGGTTCAGTGATGAGTGGCACCTGGAGCCCAGCAGGGACACAGGGCACGTGGCTCCGGGCTGGAAGGTGTCTTAGGCCACAGGGTTTCCGGGGAAGGGCCTCAGTACAGCCTCAGGGCACAGGCTTGTGATTGACTTGCCTTCCATGGGGACCTCGAGGAAAAGCTGGCTGCACAATGTTCTGGGGATACCGGAAAGATCTCGCCCCCTTGGAGAGGACCCTTCAGGATTGGCTGCTGAGCCAGATCAGCATCAGGCTCGACATTTAGTCCATCTGAGAGCAGAGCCACTGCTGTCCAGATGGAGGCGTCGCCCCATTGGATCCCCGTCTCTGGAGAATGGACAGTGTTGTCAGATCACTGGTGCGAGATGAACACGTAGTTGACTCCTCTTGATGGGGCTTCCGAGGACGGGCAAGGCGTGACTTGAGGAGCCCCTGAAGACGTCTTGCATCTGCCCTCACCTCTCTCCTCGGGCCCTGTATCCACAGCACCTCCTCACCTGGCATCCTCTGAATAATGCTAGGGATCCCATCCAGGTAGAATTGCTTATCCCCTCTGGTGGCATTTCTCAAAAAAAGCCACCATCCTTCTGTGCCCACATCCATGGAGACAAATAAACGGAAGAGAACCAGTACTAGTTAAGCCTTTACTGTGTGCTGGTCACTGTGCAGGAAACTTTATATTTCTTACCTCATTTAATCCTGAGAGAGACAGATGTTATTAACCACACGTTTGAGAGAAGGAAAATCGAGGCTCAGAGAGGTTGTGTAACTTGCCCAGGATCACACAGCTAGAGCTGGGATGTACAGATTGTTTGGCTCAAGGTCATTTCTTTTGCTGCTTTAGATAAATTGAGGGGGACCAGGTGGCCCAGAGGACCCCTTCCTCTTAAAAAGCCCAGTGACCATTCTGATTGACTTGATTTCAAACAACCTCTTTTTTTGTCTTCATTTGCAGAATAAAGAGATAGAAGAACTCACCAAGATTTGTGATGAACTGATTGCCAAAATGGGGAAAAGCTAACTTTGAACCAAACGTTTGGATTTTGACCATTGCGTGCAATATGACCGTCGGCACACTGCTGTCCCTCTGGTTATGTGGACAGGTTCTGTTTTCACTTTTTCGTATGCACTACTGTATTTCCTTTCTAAATAAAGTTGATTTGATTATATGCAGTACTAAGGAGACTATCAGAATTTCTTGCTATTGGTTTGCATTTTCCTAGTATAATTCATAGCAAGTTGACCTCAGAGTTCCTGTATCAGGGAGATTGTCTGATTCTCTAATAAAAGACAAATCGCTGACCTTGGCCTTGCCCTTTGTACATGAGTTTCCAGGGTGAGCGGCTTTTGGATTTAATATGATCATGTACAGCTTGCAAAGGGACTCTTGCCTTAAGGAGTGTAAACTTGATCTGCATTTGCTGATTTGTTTAAAAAAAAAAAAGAAAATGCATGTTTCAAATAAAGTTCTCTATTGTAAATAAATTTTTTTCTTTGGATCTTGGCAATAAGTGTGGCTGTGATTTATTTTCTGGGAAAGGTTGGGTCTTTTCTCACCTTTGTTAAATCATATCAGATTTGGCCTTTCACTCTTCTCTGTCTGGGCTCATTTTTTTGTCCACAGATTTAAATAACATTTCCTTTGTTTATCGTGGCTGTGTTTGTAAGATGAAGCAATTGAGAGATATTGACTTGCTACTTAAATAATTGAGTGTGTTAAATTAGCTTAGATTTTGTTTTTACAAATTCTCTTGGACTTTAGGGGTGCAAAATATACTTCCCTTTATTGGCTCAAAGAGGTAGCAGGCTGTCACTCTTCCTGTTCATTCCTTTAGTCTGTGCAGATCAACCCTGAAATGTTGTCCATTCCTCTCCAAAGGAATAGGAAATGGTGGCTATTCATAGTGGATGACAGTTAATTAAGCCACTTTGGAGGTTAGGGATATGTCTGCCTTAGATTCCCTAACTGCTCCTAACTTTCCCAGGGACCCCAGCTTGAAGGGTGGGTGTATAAGGGCAGTGAAGGGGTAGGGGAGGTGTCCCAGTTTCCCAGGATGGCCGTAACAAGTCACCACAAACTTCGCAGCTTAAACAACAGAATTTTACCCCCTCGTAGTTCTGGAGGCCAGAAGTCCAAAATCAAAGTGTAGGTGGAGGCCCCTGGCCGTGGCCGGCAATCCTTGATGTTCCTTGGCTTGTAGCTTGTGGCTGCATCGTGCCAATCTCTGTCTCCGTCTTCACGTGGGCTTCTCTTCTTCTGTCTCACATCTGCCTCTCCGTTCTCTTATAAGGACACCACTCTGGTTTTAGGGCTCATGCTGTATCCAGGATGAGCTCATCTCAAGATTCTCAATTACAAGTGCAAATACCCTATTTCCAAATAAGGTCACATTCACAGGTAGTGGGATGTGGATGTATCTTTTGGGGAGGACACCTGTGGTGTGGGGTATTGGCTTGGAAAGCAGCCCCAAGCACCTGATGGCCCTGGGCTTGAACGCCCCTCTCCTGCCCAGCCACAGTGGCTAAGGGATGCTCCCCTCCCACAGGCCCACCCCACCCCTAGCAGGGTAGGCCCTGTGCAGCCTCAGCTGTGGGGCAACGGGGGGGTGGGGGAGTGGGAGGGTCTCTTCTGTAACGTGCAAGGTAGAGATGAAGCTCAGCTGTACCACGCAGCCCAAGGAGAGAAAGACACAGCCTGCCTTTCTGGGAGAGAATACCTGCCTCTCGTCCCGCTGTCACCCTCACTGGACACTGCTCAGGGACCCTAGCCAGGACAGGGCTGTGCCTCCTACCACTGCCCAGCAACCTCTGCTTGGTCCAGCCTCTGGGTACACCTCCCAGGGCTCAGCCGCAGCCCCCTGCCCCCCATGCTTGCTTGTCCAGACCAAACCCCCCTTCCACCCCGCCCCCAGATTCTGACCTCAGTTACCTTCTCATTCCTATCGCTCGAAAGCTTTAACTTTTTTTATTAAGTAAAACATTTCCATCGCTAAAAATCTAGAAGTGCAGGTAAGAAAAAACCCTCATAATCCCCAAACCAAGAGATGCTATTAATGTTTTTTTTAATTAATTTATTTATTTTTGGCTGCGTTGGGTCTTTGTTGCTGTGCGCGGCCTTTCTCTAGTTGCGGTGAGTGGGGGCTACTCTTCTTTGCGGTGCGCGGGCCTCCCATGGCAGTGGCTTCTCCTGTTGTGGAGCACGGGCTCTAGGCGCGCAGGCTTCAGTAGTTGTGGCACGCCGGCTCAGTAGTTGAGGCTCACAGGCTCTAGAGCGCAGGCCCAGTAGTTGTGGCGCACAGGCTTAGTTGCTCTGCGGCATGTGGCATCTTCCGAGACCAGAGCTCGAACCCGTCCGTGTCCCCTGCGTTGGCAGGTGGATTCTTAGCCACTGCACCACCAGGGAAGCCCTATTGATGTTTTTATGCTTATATTTCTATGCCTCTTTCGCTCAGTGTACGAAAGACTTATTTTTATGAAAGTAGATTATTTGGAGTTATGTGTTGTCACACCAACACAGCCACCTGCAGGGCCCCTGCATAATGTTTTGTAAACCTTTTTTTCACCTAATACTATAATGTGGCTATCATGCTATGGTAACTCATATAAATAAATATCACTGTTTGTCATCATTTTGAATGGCTCCGTGTCTTCCATGGAACCAAAATGTATTTAACCAACGGCCCACTGATGGGACATTTATATCGTGTCCAGTGTTTTGCTATCATTATGCACGCAGCTGCAGTGAGTTTCTTTATGCACATACGTTTATGAATGTGAGTCTTTCCTTAGGTTAAATTCCTAAAGTGGATAACATGGGTGAATGCTGTCACTGTCTTCCAGCCAAAGGCCACCATGAACACAACCGAGGTTGAACAAGTCGGGTTTATTGCTAGTTGCAGTGAGGGAGGATGCCCGCCAGGGGGAGCTGTGGGGCATCTCAGTAAGTGGGTTTTAAGAGGCCTGCAGAAACACAGCATAGGATTTGGGCTTGGGTCCGGTGAGTCTGCGGAAGGCTTACGGAAGCAAGGCTTTGCTCCGTATTGGAGGTGACCGGCCCAGAGTGAGGGATGCCTGGCTCCCTGAGCAGCTCCTTTCACGTAATCCTTGCTCAGCAAAGCCTCTGCTTTCCAGGACATTCCACGTGAAAAATTGAGCGGGACAGGTGGTGTTCCGATGGGGGCGGGGGTGGAGATGTGCGCATGCGCAGGGCATGTGGGCAGGAGGAAGGATGTTTACACGTGAGCACCCGCGGGGTCTCCCTTGGGGTCAGTACTCTCTAGCTATTTTGTGTGTGTGTGTGTGTGTGTGTGTGTGGTACGCGGGCCTCTCACTGTTGTGGCCTCTCCCGCTGCGGAGCACAGGCTCCGGACGCGCGGGCTCAGCG